CTTTCTCCCGCGGAGCGGCTGGTAGTTTCGAACCGCTGACCTTAAGGTTTGCAGCCCGATTCGTAACCACTACGCTACCAGAGCTCCTTAACAACATATATAGCTATAAGTAATTTTAATTAGAAAGATAAAAAGGATGAGGAAATAATACTATTTTATTGTGCCTGGCCCTTGCCAGTATACCCCCATCTTGACTTTCATTTCTCCTGTTTGCTCCTTCTGGGCATCTTTTGAATAGAAATTATCTAGTCCTTTATTCTCGTGCCACGTTGGCAGTGTCATGATGGAGAAATATGGGTTTGGAATAATGTAAGATAATTAATCCAAGTTTTAAATTTTTCCATTAAGTTAAAGACTTGTAAACATATGTACTTTGTTGTTTAGATCATGTATATGAATATTTAAATTAACTTGATAGTTATAACCTCATAACGAAATCCACTGCTGTTTATTCCAACTCATAGCAATCTTATAGGACAGAGTAGAACTGCTCCACAGGGTTTTTGAGACTCTAAATCTTTATGGGAGCAAGTAGCCTCATCTGTGGAGCAGCTGGTGGGCTTGTACCACCTACCTTTTGGTTAGCAACCCAACACTTAACCCACAGCACCACTAGGGCTCTTGAATTATAGTATGTTATTAAGTGCTGTCGAGTCAGTTCCCACTCCTAGTGACTATGTGTAATGTTTCCAGGGAGCAGCCGGTGGGTTTGAATGGCCGACCTTGTGGTTTGCAGTCCAGTGCTCATCCTACTGTGCCACACCAGGAGTCCCAAGTTATAGTATAGCAAGGATGATTTTGAATCTTGTTAAAACCTGCATACTAAAATGCCAATAACATGAGAACCATTGGTTAGCATTCTTGTGGAAACTGCTGTATTTCCAATTGATGATAATCTCACAATAGGGGGAACATTGGAGTCCTGGTGTTGGGTTGTAGGATAAGCAACTGGACTGCTCAAACCCACCAACCACTCTTCTGAAACCCTACACAGGGTTGCTGTGAGTTGGAACTGACTCAGCGTCACTTAACAACAACAACAAACGGGAATACTGTGATAGATGTGTGGCTTATGTGAGATCAATTTAAGACATGTATTATTTTGTATGGATACCGGTCATAAGTAGTAATAAAGTGATCTTCATTTAAGGTCTGGATTCCCTGGAGCACAGCCTGTTTCCATGGACAAGCAAAATATTAAACTTCTAGAGCAGAAGCCATATAAAGTAAGCTGGAAAGCAGATGGTACTCGGTAAGTTAGAATTCTAAAAACAAATTATATAAATAACATTAATGCTTGGAAGAATATTGCTTTGTTGTTAGGGAAGGTTCACACTGTTGAGAGTGTGAATTTCTCACATGAATAGCAAAAAAGCACATTAAAAAAATTATATGGTTTTTGTTATATTTGTTGCTTCTGTACATAGTGACCCTATGTGCAACAGAATGAAGTACTGTCTGGGCCTGTGCTATGCTCACAATCATTGGTATGTCTGAGCCCATTGTTTCATCAATCTGTCTTGTTGAGGATCTTGTTCTTTTGATGACCCACTCTCTACTCAACCAAGCATAATGTCTTTCCAGCAACTGGCCCCTCCTCATAACTTGTCCAGAGCACATGAGATGAGGTCCCACCATTCTCACCTCTAAGGAACATTCTGGTTGTATTTCTTCCAACGTAGATCTTCATTAACACCATAATTCAAAGATGTCAATTCTTCTTTTTAATCTTCCTTATTCAATATCTAGCTTTCAAATACATATGAGGTGATTGAAAAATACCTTGGCTTGGGGCAGGTGTACCTTAGTACTCAAAGTGACATTTTTATTTAAAACTTTAAAGAGGTCTTTTGCAATATATTTGCCCAATATAGTGTGTCCTTCGATTTTCTGACTGCTGCTTCCATGGGTGTTGATTGTGGATCCTAGTAAATTGAAATTCTTGTCAACTTTAATCTGTTTATCATGATGTTGTTTTTTAGTTTAGTTGTAAACATTTTTATTCTAAGTTCAGATGTAATCCATAATGAGGGAGCACAGTAGCTCTGTAGGAATAACACTGCACTGAGAACCACAAGGTCAGTGGTTCGAGCCCATCAATTGCTCTGTGGGAGAAAATTATTGATCCTGTAAAAATGTACAGCCTCGGATATATGGTAAATTTCATGGCGTTTAACAACAACAATAGATGCTGAAGGATTTTTATCAGCAAGTGCTTTAAGTTTTTGTTACGGGTAGTATTTTGGGGTATGTAATGTAGTTATCTCTCATTCTTCTTAATTTTTGGTTTTAGAATAGTAATTGTTCAGCAAAAATCTCCATCACGGTCTAAGTTTGAAAGTCTTTTCTCTCAATAATATTGTGGGTTTTGATGTTTATTTCCTACCTATATGTCTTTAAACTCATGATGTAGTGCTGTAGCATCAGCGCTGGATTTTGAACCACAAGGTCGGCAGTTCAAACCCACCAGCTGCTCTTCAGAAACCCTGTGTGTAGGGTTGCTATGAGTTGGAACATACTCGATAGCTCTTAACAACAACAGCATATCTTTGATGGTTGTTGGACACTTCTAAAGTTAACAGATGTGTTATCAGTCTATAATCTAAAAATTACCAACTCCATAATTTTTGTATTTTTTATTCCTTTGAATAGTTATCCATTTTCTCTAAATCCTCTGTTAAATTTTTTTTTTTGTAGTGATTTAACTTTTTAAGGTAGTTATATCATTATAACAGATATTATTTTTCAAATTTTATATTCCTATGTTGGCACTGAAGTAACTCTGGTACTGTAGTGGTTACTAATCGGGCTGCCAACCTCAGGGTCAGAAGTTTGAAACTACCAGCTGTTCTGCAGGAGAAAGATGAGGCTTTCTGCTCCTGTAAAGATTTATAGCCTCGAAAACCCTATACAGGGTCACTGAGTCAGAACCGACTCCATGGCACATAACCACCACCACCATGTTGGCGCTGAAGGATAATGTAGTGGACCACGAGGTTGGTTTGAACTGCAAGGTGGGTGGTTCAAACCCACCAGCTGCTCCTTGGAAACCCTAGGCAGGGTTGCTATAATTTGGAACTGACACGATGATACTTTATAGCATGTTTTTAAATGGGGAGCACTGTGCATCTGTAGGATAAGTACTGGACTGCTAACCACAGAGTTAGAAATTCAAGCTCACCCATCCCTCCAGGGGAGAAAGATGAGGCTTTCTCTAGAGTGATGGTTTATAGCCTTAGAAACCCTGTACAGGGTCTCTATGAGTTGGAACCCACTCGACAGTATTTGACAACAAAACAGCATGTTTTAAAATTTTCATTAATGTTTTACTTAATATGTTATAACAGTTGAAGTAATCTTTTAAATAATACTAATATAGAAGTTCTACTAACTTTTTCATAATGAAAAGCCATTTTAGAATGATTGTTGTTGTTAGATGCCGTTGAGTCGGTTCCAACCCATAGCAACACAGTATAGGGTTTCTGAAGAGCAGCTGTTGAGCTTGAACTCTTGACCTTGTGATTCAAACTGACTTTGTAGTCCAGCGCACTAACCCACAGCACCAGGTCTTCCTTAGAATAATTAGGTGTGTATATATGTGTGAGTTTCCACCACTCGTCTGTCAGTGTGTCAGTGTGTCATACTGTGGTGGCTTGTGAGTTGTGATTCTGAAAGCTATGCCACCGGTATTTTAAATATTAGCGGGGTCACCCATGGTGGACAGGTTTCAGATTAGTTTCCAGATGAAGACAGACTAGGAAGAGAGAGTGATGAACTACTTCCAAATATTTAGTTACTGAAAACCTTATGAGTAGCAGAGAAACACTGTCAGATACAGTGCCAGAAATTAAACCTCTCAGGTTGGAAGTCACTCAAAATGCGACTGGGGAAGAGCTGCCTTCTCAAAGTAGAGTTGACCGTGATGATGCTAATGGAATAAAGCCTGGGGTGGGGGGAAAAAGCCCACGGGACCTTCATTTTCTGATGGAGCACAACTCAAAATGAAGAAAAACAGCTGTAAACATCCATTGAAAATTGGAAC